GGAGAAAACCCACGCATGCACGGAGAGAACATGCAAACTCCACCCAGAAAGGCCCCTGGACCGGGGTTTGAACCAAGGACCTTCTCGCTGAGAGGCAGCAGCTCTACCAGTTGCGCCACCGTGCTGCCCCTAACATAACTAATCAAACCCATCTACTGCTTCAAATCCAGCACTTTGCAGAGGTTTTAATTTCCCAATTAACCATCCATCCATCCATCCATCCATCCATCCATTTTCTTCCGCTTATTCGGGGTCGGGTTGCGGGGGTAGCAGCCTAAGTAGAGAGGTCCAAACTTCCCTCTCCCCAGCCACTTGGGCCAGCTCCTCTGGGAGAATCTCAAGGCGTTCCCAGGCCATCTGAGAAACATAGTCCCTCCAGTGAGTCCTGGGTCTTCCTCTGGGTCTCCTCCCAGTGGGATGTCTCTGGAACACTTCACCAGGGTGGCGTCCAGGTGCCCGAGCCACCTCAACTGGCTCCTCTCAATGTGGAGAAGCAGCAGCTCTACTCTGAGGCCCTCCCAGATGACTGAGCTTCTCACCCTATCTCTAAGGGAGAGCCCAGACACCCTGCAGAGAAAACTCATTTCGGCTGCTTGTATCCGAGATCTCGTTCTTCCGGTCACAACCCAAAGCTCATGACCATAGATGAGGGTAGGAACGTAGATTGACCGGTAAATCGAGCGCTTCGCCTTTTGACTCAGCTCTCTATTCACCATGACAGACCGGTACAGTGTCTGCTTCACTGCAGATGCCGCATCTATCCGCCTATTGATCTCTCACTCCATTTTTTCTTTATTTGCGAACAAGACCCTGAGAAACTTAAACTCCTCCACTTGGGGCAGGACCTCCTCCCTGACCCGAAGGAGGCACTCTACCCTTTTCCAGCTCAAGACCATGGCCTTGGATTTGGAGGCACTGATCCTCTTCCTGGTCGCTTCACACTTGGCTGCAAACCACTATAGTGAAAGCTGTAGATCATGACCTGATGAAGCCAATAGGACCACATCATCTGCAAAAAGCAGAGATACAATCCTAAGGCCACCAACACTGATCCCCTCAACACCTTGGCTGCACCTAGAAATTATGCCCATAAAAGTTATGAACAGAATCGGTGACAAACGGCATCCTTGGTGGAATCCAACTCTCACCAGGAACGAACCCGACTTACTGCCGGCAATGTGTACCAAGCACTGACACCGGTCGTACAGGGAACTAACATCCCCTATCAAAGGGCCTGGTGCTCCATACTCTTGGAGTACCTCCCACAAGGTTCCCAGAGGGATGTGGTCAAACGCCTTCTCCAAGTCAACAAAGAACATGTAGACTGGTTGGGCAAACTCTCACGCACCCTCCAGAATCCTGCTGAGGGTGTAGAGCTGGTCCAGTGTTCCACGACCAGGTTGAAAACCACACTGATCTTCCTGAATTTGAGGTTCAATTATCTGATGAACCTACCTTTCTAAAACCTCTGAATAGACCTTACCAGGGAGGCTTAAGTGCGTGATCCCCCTGTAGTTGGAACACACTCTGCAGTCCCCCTTTTTGAATAGGGGGACCACCATCCCAGTCTGCCAATCCGGGGGAACTGCCCCGATGTCCATGCAATATTGTAGAGTTTATAAGCCAACACAACCCCACAACATCCAGATCCTTAAGGAACTCTGGGCGAATCTCATCCACCCATGGGGCCCTGCCACAGAGGAGCTTTTTAACCACCTCGGTGACCTCAACACCAAAGATTGGGGAGCCTGACCCAAAGTCCCCAGGCTCCGCTTCCTCAGTGGAAGATGTGCTGGTGGGACTGAGGAGGTCTTCAAAGTACTCTGCCCACCAACCCACGGCATCCCGAGTTGAGGTCAGCAGCACACCATCCCCACTATCAACAGTGTTGGTGGTGTACCGCTTCCCACCCCCATTAAGATGCCGGATGGTGGACAAGAATCGCCTCGCCCCCCACACATAGGCAGAGGGAGGCTACCCTCTCATTCACCGGGGTGAACCCCAATGTACAGGCAACAAGTATGCCCACTCCTGCTCGGTGCCTCTCACCAGGGGCAACTCCAAAGTGGAAGTGTCCTATCCCTCTCAAGGACACTGGTTCCAGAGCTCGAGATGAGTCAGACTATTTCTAGCCGTAACCTCTCAACCTCACACACCAGCTCAGGCTCCTTCCCCACCAGAGAGGCGACATTCCATGTCCCGGGAGCCAGCTTCTGTAGCTGAGGATAAGACTGCCAAGGTCCCTGCCCTGGACCACAACCCATCTCACAGTGCACCAAAGGGGGACCCACGTCTCCTCTTCGGGCTGTGCCTGGCTGGGCTCCATAGGTGAAAGCCTGGCCACCAGACGCTTGCCATTCTGCCCCACCGCCAGACCTGGCTCCAGAGTGGGGCCTCGGTGACCCACGTCTGGGCGAGAGAAGATTGTTTCCATTAATTGTACTCATCATATGGGTCTTTGGGCTGCACTTTGTCTGGCCCCTCACCTAGGACTTGTCTGCCTTGGGTGACCCTACTAGGGGCATGAAGCCCCTGACAGCATAGCTCCTAGGATCATTGGGACACTCAAACCCCTCCACCACGGTAAGGTGGCAGCCCAGGGAGGGGTCCCAATAAACCATAATCTTGAAATAATAAACACAACAACAATAATAATAATAATAATAATAATAATAATTATTATTATTATTATTATTATTATACAATTTCAGACTAATATTTTTTTCAAATTGCACATTCTGGAGTTTGCATTTCTGAATTTAGTTTCAGCACCAAAGGAATCACAGCACTGACAACTTTTACAAGATCTGAATACTAATGTTTAGTTGTTGTGAAATTTATGCTTCTAGTCTAAACCAATACCTTGACTTGAACTTGAATAACATGTTTTAAAACCTGGCCTGTTAATATATATTTTTTAATAAATTTCAAGTAAATTTGCAAAAACCATAAGTAATCAACAATTGTGACCAAATAAAGTGACACATGCGTGCACGCACACACACTCACACACACATGTTTTTTTACACAGATTGTCAAGTTGCTGTGACCTGCAGTGATCAGGATAACCCACTAAGTGATGCTGCTGTTTAATTTTGAATTTTATGGCCACAGCAAGCCTAAAAAACATGAGACAGAGTTATGTTTAACACTCCTCTTCTTTAAACAGCAAATGGGAACCAAGGAGACCAGCTGCTGGAGTTTTGTAGGGGAATGTTGTCACATTCTTGTCCGATGGAGGATTCTAGCTTTTCAACAGTCCTGAGTCTGTTTTGCCAAATTTCTTGTTTCATAATGTGCCAAATGTTTGTATTTGATAAGAAGTCTGGACTGCAGCCAGGACAGTTTAGCTCCTGGACTCATCTACTGTAAAGTCATGCTGCCTTCCGTGAAAAAGACTCAATTGGAAGAGAACATATGCTGTTCTAAAACTTGTACTTTTCTGCATTAATGATGCTTTTCCAATGAGTTGCTCATGTCAGAAGCACTATACACCCCTATATCATCAGAGAGGCAGACTTTTGAACATTCTTTACTTTTATCAGGTCAGATATTCATTTTACTTTTTAGTACTGATGGCATGGTGTCCATGATATCCAATATTGACTTTCAGTCTCGTCCTCTGGACAGAAATTTCTCCAGACTCTTGAACTCTTTTGATGATATGATAAACTGTGGATGATGGGATAATCAAATCTTCCCAAATTTGGCATAAGGAACATCATTATGAAAGTGTTCCATTAGTTTTCAATGCAGATTTTTGCACACTTTTGAACCTCTGTCCATCTTTACTTCTTATGGATTCAGCCTCTTAAATGTGTTTTATTACACACTCCTTATACACCCAGTTGCCAAAAAATTTAGGTAATTAGGAGCAAAATGCTCTTCCAGCTGTTTCTCATTCATGCCACTTACGTTTACAGACTTTTGATGCCCCTTTCTCAAAATGTTTTTGGTGTGTTGCAGCCATCAAATTCAAAATCATAGTTTTTTTTATTTTGAAAATTATACATATTCTTAGTTTAAACATTTGATATATTTACTGTGTTTCTCTCTTAAGTAAAATGTGGGTTTATGGCATTTTCACATCATTGCAGTCTATTTATAGTTATTCAGTGTCAGACAATTTAATAACTGGTACAGAACAGATGTCATTTTAAATGTGGAAAAATAATGAAACAATTGTAAAACTTCAGCCAGAAACATAACTGGATAAAGTTAATTTTGGTTAAACCTTAACCTTAACTGCATAAATACAAATGTAAATGAACATTAAAACGACCCTGTGATGGACTTGCGACCTGTCCAGGGTGTACTCCGCCCCTCACACGATTGCCGGACATGGGCACTGGCGACCCCCGTGACCCAAAATGGAAGAAGCGGGTAAAAAGATAATGGATGGATGGATGGATGAACATTAAAACCAAGATTAAGAAATTGTGTGTTACTTTGTTGGAATGGAACTAAATGGAACAAAAAAGCTTTTTGCTGTTTCTTTATCACATTTATTCCTGGAAATACAGTTATCATTTAATTGTTTATCAGTAGTATTTTAAACATGTCACTATTTTTTTTCCAAGTTTGATAAAGGGATGTTAAAAATTGTGATGTTGATTTAAAATTCTTAAAAAGCAGCGTAAAGATTTTAATACATTTCCTATTGGAACTTTTACTTCATAAACTTATTTATGTAGTTATAAAATAACCTCTCACACAAACACACTTGTTTTTAATTCTTCCTGGTACTTTGTCATAAATTTGTGATATATATTTGTTTAAATAAAACAACCTGAACATTATGAATAATAAGCTGCTTAAAATGATTCACAAAGTGAAGCTAACTATTGACTGGCTTCACACTTTCCCTAGAATTGTGTAACAGTAAAGGTCAGGGATAAATGTTGTGCTGTGCAAGCAGTAGCTATAGATGACAACAGCTCGTGTCAGAGTCCAGTTCAGTCTCCTGCATCAATCAGTCAAAGGATCATTCCTGTCTCATTGTCTCATTTTCTCCATGGCTTCTCCAGGAACAGACTCCAGAGCTCCTTTCTCACTGGACTCCTACTATGTCTCTGAGGATTTTGGCTTTATCCTTCCGGACCCTCTGGTACGTGAAAAGACTCTTCTCATCTGTATTTTTGAACCATTATCCAAGTCGTACTCAAGTACTGGAACCCAGACAGCCAGTAGTTCAAAATAGGCTTTTATATGTGAAAATAGCCGTTACACTGATTTATGCACAAAAATACATAGACATATTAGACATACATAGACATATTTCTATGTACTAGAAAATGTTTCTATGTATGATAAAATATTTTTATGTGTTGGAAAATGTGAGGTTCAGCAGTTAGACCAATTAAGGGACCAATTAATTCTTAACGGCTTAAGTTTGATGTTGTGCACGTGTTCAAAATCCAGTTTTTAAAATTTCTCCACCAACAAAGACATTATTTTTGCACTAACACAATATAAAAGTTCAAGCTTAAAAAAATTAAATGGAAACAAAATCACAAATTCACAACACTGGTTGCTATTATCTTGTTTTAGAACTTGACCTATGCTTTATTATTATTATTTTTTTTTGTTTGCTTTGGAACTGAAATTTTACATTTGCAGGAAGATCTTCCATCGTATTACCAGCCATGGATGGATATTGCCCTGCGGATCCCAGAGCTTGTGCACAGTCACGAGCTGCGCTCCTGCGTTAACAAGGTAAACGGTGGCATCGCCAACAAATTGATAAGAAGAGTTTACTGTCTGCTGTTGTGAAATTGTTCATACATGTTACTACTGTACAGATGCCAGTGCTGAGCACCCACTTCCTGCACAAACACAGAGAGTTACGACTCGCCCACCTGGCCCTCAGCATGATGACGATGGGCTACGTCTGGCAGGAAGGTGAAAACAACACCACTGAGGTAACAGCTTTCCCTTCTCCTTTCATGCTCTTACTGCAGAAACCCTAAAATACTCCGTTTGTTATAACAGTTGCTCTTTTTTGTTGATAATCTTCTTTAAAGAAATTGCCAACCAGTCTGGCTGTTCCATTCTGGGAGGTGTCGCAGCGCCTAGGTCTTCCTCCAATTATGACCCATGCAGATGCAGTGTTGGCTAACTGGAAGAAGAAAGATCCAGAGGGGTAAAACCATTAATGCTCCACAAGTAACTTGCTAAATAATAATAAAAAATAATAATAATAAAAATTAATGAAACAACATTTTCTTTTTATGCTCATCGTCATATCTTGTGTGCCAGGCCTTTTGATATGGAGTGAGTATATCTGCATTTTCATCCACTCACAGCACTGTGTCATAATCCTGTCATTTATATAACATTGTATATGTTTATTTGCATCCAGGAACCTGGAGTTGCTGGTCAGCCTCCCAGGTGGAGAAAGTGTGAAAGGCTTCTTCTTGGTCACTCTGCTGGTGGAGCGTGCAGCGATTCCTGCAATACGGGTGAAGTCAAATCACATCGTATAACATGCAAATGTGAAAACTCTTCTGTATTAAGAGAACTGAACGCCTTGTTTGCAGTAGTGATGGACAGGCTGACAGATGAGGTCAGGCAGAAGTCCAAGTCAGGATTCTAAGTGAGAACAGGGAGCAGGTAGAAGAGAGCCTGGTGAGGTGGAGGCATGCTCTGGAGAGAGAAGGAATGACAGTCAGTTGAAGGGAGACAGAATATACTGTATGTGTGTAAATGAGTGGGAGACAGGTGGCGCAGTGAAGCTGCACAGGATAGAAGTATTAAAGTTGTATGAGTTTAACTACCTGTGCTCAACTATCCCATGCAATGAGCAGCACTGAAGAAGAGACCAAAGTCTATGCTCATTAATCCAGATATAAAATCCAACAATGTTCAGTCAGGTCATCTGGACAGTTTCTTTTTGTTTTCTTTTTGTGCTGAGACGTTTCTCCCTCCATCCAGAAGGTTTCATCAGCCTGAGGAAACACCAAACAAAACTGATATTCCCCCAACATCGTACTCCAAAGTGAAAAAAAAAACCAATCCACAACAGTTATGTTGGGGCTATGGCCTCTGGGGCACGCCCTCTCCCTCATCGACAGTCATGTCAACTATGTCAACGAGAAGTTTTTCCACTTTGGAGTAGGCTGTTGGGGGAATATCAGTTTTGTTTGGTGTTTCCTCAGATTGATGAAGCCTTTTGGATGGAGGGTGAAAGGTCTCAGCACAAAAAAAGATAAAAGAAAGAAACTGTCCAGATGACGTGACTGAACATTGTTGGACTGAAGAAGAGCGTGCAAGCAGGGTGGAGTGTGGAGATGAGTGTCAGAGGAGGGGGGGGGGGGGCATTTGTGATAGAATATCTGCAAAACCGAAATTAAAATTTTAATGAGATAAAGGAGGTGTATGATGAGGTCTATGATGTTTATTTTGGAAACTTTCACATGAACAAAAAGGCCAGAGGAGGAGCTGGAGGCGCCAGAGATAAAGACGTTAAGATTTTCTTTAGGAGTGACCAAAATGGACATGGTTAGAAATGAGTACTTTAAAGGGACAGTTCAGGCTGAGCTGTTAGAAGACAAAAGAGATGGTATGGACATGTCACAGGAGAGAGCATTTCAGTCAAATATATTAAACTTGAATCTGCCAGGAAGGGGGAAAAGAGGAAGATGGTAGGTTTTGGGGTGCAGGCAGGGGGGGCATAATGTGATTGCAGAAAGATTTAAATAAATGATCTCATTGTTCTGCAGAGCATTCCTTCTGTTATCAATGGCATCAGGTGTGGTGACACTGATGCAGTGGTCAGAGCCCTGGAGGACATCAGCCAGTCCATACAGGACATGAATGATGCACTTAAATTGATGCAAGGTAATGGGAGTCAACCATCCAAAGATCAATAACAAAACTTATTGCAGTTTACTCAGTTTAAAATATAGTTTAATTTATTTATTTTTTTTCATTCAGTGTATGTGGACCCTTCAGTCTTCTATGGCGTTATGAGAATCTACCTGTCTGGGTACAGAAACCTGTTTTTATTTTCATTTAACTTTTTATTTGTTTTCATGGTTAATCTTTTTTTTAACCTGTAGATTTAAAAAAAAAACTGATATGAAACTCTGCATTTAGACTAATATATGCATGCTTAGGTGGAAAGACAACCCCTGTATGCCGAAGGGGCTTGTCTACGAAGGCGTCCACGTAAAGCCAATGGAGTTTTCTGGAGGGAGTGCTGCACAAAGCAGTCTGCTGCACTGCTTTGATGAACTCCTGGGAGTCAAACATGAAGAGAAAAGCCGTAAGATAGCTAATAATTAATATTATAATGAGTCCATTTATTGATTGCAAATATTCTGGACATGAATATGATGCATTCATTGTGTGGATCCTGTCTTTTTCAGGTTCCTTTCTAAACCGCATGAGGGACTACATGCTACCTGCTCACAGGCAGCTGATCCAGGCCATTTCATCACAGCCGTCCCTGAGGAGTTTTGTCCAGCAGCAGGCTAACGATCACCTAAACCAGTCCTTTGAGTTCTGCGTCTCAAAACTGTTGGCCCTGCGCAACTACCACATCAATGTTGTGAGCCGTTTCATCACCGTGCCTGCAGCTCGAGCTCGACAGCTCCGTAACCATAGCCAGGACTCAGAGGGGGATATGATCATCAAAGCCCCCAAAGCGCTGGAGGACAGGGGCACCGGTGGCTCTGGCATCATGATTTTTCTAAAAACTGTGAGGGACAGAACAAAAGATGCTATTCTGCCTGAGCCAAGCAAAAAAATAAAAAATCACAGTTGATGTGAACTGTAATCTCTAAGGATACACAATAAATCAACTCTCATTTCACAAACTACATACTTTTATATGTAAATAAATGTAATACTTTTGTCAGAGTGACAGTGAGAAGCTTTTGTTACTTTACCTTTTAATTTATTGCTTTATTAAAGATACTTGTAGGACCACACTAACAAAGACAAACAAAAAATAATAATCCAGGCTGTCACAAATTTACATTAAAGCTAAAACGCCATTGATTCCCCATAGTAAAGTAACACCTAACTGAACTGAATGCAGGGTGCGTCAGCGATAACATTACATTGTTCTTTTCCATTAACCTGCATGTAAAACTATACATCAGATTGCACAGTACAGCAGAACAAGTGGGAACATCAGTCTTTATAAACATCTGGCTTGCACTAACTACAACTTGACCCTTAAAGCAACAGCCTCGTTCATTATACGCTACAGTCAGTTTTCTCAAACTACATTTTCTGCAGCGCCTCCACAAATGGGCAGTGTACTTAAAAACACAATATGCTTAAAAAGTTAAAAAGTGCAATCTTCACTGGTACAAACCACATGCTGAATTTAATTATCAGCATATTAGCTCATGCAAGCATTAGGCTGCACTGTCTGTAAATGTCCCTGTCATCAGTGTAGTGAACTAGACCTCCGACATCAACCTGTCTCTGAGGACCTTCAGGGGACAGGAACAGTTGTTTCATTGATCCATCCATCCATTATCTTTACCCGCTTATTCCATTTTGGGTCACGGGGGTCACTGGTGCCCATGTCCAGCAATCACTGTGCGAGGGGCGGGGTACACCCTGGACGGGTCGCAAGTCCATCACAGGGACACATAGAGACAAACGAGACAAACAACCATTCACTCTCTCACTCACACCTAGGGACAATTTAGAGTTACCAATCAGCCTAACATGCATGTTTTTGGTCTGTGGGAGGAAACCGGAGTACCCGGTGAAAACCCACGCATGCACGGAGAGAACATGCAAACTCCACCCAGAAAGGCCCCTGGACCGGGGTTTGAACCAAGGACCTGCTCGCTGAGAGGCAGCAGCTCTACCAGTTGCGCCACCGTGCTGCCCTTATTTCATTGATCTGAATCCAGAAATACAAATTATCTCATCAAGAGACTATTTAATTGTATCCTGAATTAATCAATTGAAAGAACACTCTTCTTTTTTATATTATCATTAACTATTTTACAATATCTTGATAATCAAAAGTGTGTTTAGTTCATACCATTTCTAAATGTTGAAGTGAACCACTCACTTAAATCAACTGTGAAACAGTATTAATGATTTTTAAACCTCATTAGACTTGGATCATACAGTTAAATGTCTATTTACGAAGTAAGTGTGCATTTAGTCTTCTGTTCGAATGAGGAGTAGTGGATTTGAGGGCAAAAGTCTGAGACAAGTTATGAGAACGAAGTGCCTTGTTTTTAAAACTCTCAGACAGTAAATAAGAACTAGCTGGCACCTGCATTGTCTCACTTCTTCAAAATATTTCTCTGTCTGTACTAACCGTTCTTAAAACATTTCTGCTGTCTACTGACTCCTAATAACCCTCTGACATCACTAAAACTACACCCCTGCTGGTTGTTTCAACCAATCAGGAGGTACCAAGTGACAGGAAGTGGATACCCTTTAAAAGTCAACACTTCTTGGAACTATTCAGTCTTCCAAGTCTTCCGAGCCTTTCCAGTCTTCCTGGAACTTTCAGTCGAAGATGAGACTCAGTCTGATAGAGTCTTACAGCTGAACAAAATAGCTGATGGATCTGACCATGTGCCAAGGGTCCATCCATTCCAGCGTAGTCACAGCCTGCCTCGGCTGTGACTCAACCCGAGCATTAAATGCTCAACTTCTAAGGAAGCTTATTCTGTTGAACTGAGTACTTTGTCACAACTTGTGACGACCCCAGCCACTCTGACCGGAGACGCTGAAAAGGGAGCGTGCCAGTGGACCTCTGTTCCGGAGTGGAGGTATCCACCATCTCAGGTAACAAGCCGTTGCACGCCCTGAAGTGTGCGGAGGGCTGAGCTGGATTCGGAGGAAGGGTGCCATTTTCTGGTTCAACACATAACTTTCATCCATCTAAGCCTCCTCTTTAAATCTATTCCTTCTCTTTAAACTTCTATTCACAAGTAAATCATGCTAGATGCCTTCAGAGGTGAATCAGCCTCAATCAGTAATGTTCTGTTGTCTTGTTTAGTAAATCGTAACAACTTTATTAATCAGAAACAGATCAGCAAATCAATGTGTACATGTTTGATGTTAAATTTTGATTCTGTTAAATAAATGAGTGCATTTATTCTGATGGGTCAAAGATAAAATGGCGTCTCGTGTCACTAATTACCACTCCACACCACAAGTTATCTTGGTTACATGGAAGAAATTTAACTCGAAAAAGAAAGAATCCGTTGTAATTAAACAATTAATGTTCTTTGTGCTTGAACTAGCTTTAAGAATAATTAATTAGTAGCATGTTACAGTGAAAGCTGTCCCTATATCACTACATCAGTCAGGAATGAGATGCCCGAAATACTCACTTTAGGAAGAGTACTAAAAGCATATGAGTCTGGATATACTATATCACAATCTTCCCTGCTATTTGTGCTTAGAATATTACTCTTCTTTGCATAATATCAAACTCAGACACATTGTTGGAGCCCAGTGATATATGGACAAAGAAAAAAAGAAAACAGTGGACCATCTGCATACATCAAGTGGTTTCTTGTTTTACCTCCAACTCTAAAACCTGTCCCACAGTTTTTGATAAATTGTCCATAAACACTTTAGACAAAATGCTTCCTTAACCCTAATGCTAAAAGGGCCAGACATGCAATTATCCCATTTTATGTGCACTGACTGAAGATGCTCATCTACTTTGTAATTCAAGATTTAGGAACCCCTCTACTGTGTAACTTTAAAAAATATTTTTTCACTATTTACACAATCAGAAACTTTGGAAGCATTGATAAAAACGTAACAGTTGTAGAATCATGTTTGTCATATAGCCCCGAAATCTCTCTTAAAGTTACAGGAAACATGTCTGCACCAGGTTTATATTTAAAACCATTATCTTTAATTATGAGCACTAAAATAACAGATAGGATAAAACTATGTTCCTTGTCTTACATGCAGCCTCCTTGATTCTGTAAACAAACCTCAGCATAGCAGGCATGATTGATCCCAATTATCCAGTCAAACCACAAATTGAAACCATTTCAATTGCCTCCCATTAAACCCAACCTTTAATTTTATGTTCTGCAGTGGTATGAACAAAATATCCATAAGCCGTTTGTTCCAAACCCAAATATACAGAAAATGGTGGTACAGACTAATTTATTTAGTAAAGCTTCCTTAAAGGGATAGAAAAACTTCATTTTTGAAATAGTTTTGAATGTTTTGAATAAATAAGTTTGCTTTTTCAGACCAAATTGTAGCATTATTGAAGCTTTCTTTACTAAAATCTCACACTACTGGTGCTAACCTAAAATAAGAAACGATTTGTGTTGTAAATATAACATAAAGTATAACCTAATGCAATACTTGATGAAGTCTTGATGGGGCGCCAAAGGGCAACACAATGACAGAATAAACACCACTGAGTTTGTACAATTTAAATCAGAACATTAGCTAATAGCATCGAAGGCGTGCTTAACTTTTTTAAAAAACTTGTTCAACAAAGCTAACAATAACAAAAATGATGTAATACCGTTTTTGTTATCTGTAGGTGATAAAAGATGTGTTGAAATCCACACTTCCACTAAACCATGAAACATAACCTGCCCTTGTCAGAAAATACTAATCTTTTTGTTGAGTCTAAACTTTGCAGTCCACAGTGAGGTTGTCATGTCGTGACACAATGAACAATGCAGAGCAGGGATGCATCACCAGTCAGGAAGGTTACCTCAGCTCTCCTCCAGCTCTCACATGTCCCAGTATACTTCCTAGAGTGAGTAAACTCAATAAAGGGATGGACTGTACCATGAATCACTGTGAAATCTTCACCTCCACTGGGCAATTCCCACTGATGTTCAGTCAGTTCCTTTAATTTCAGTAATCTATGTCAGGGCTATTCAACAAAACTGCTCAGGGGGGCCACAGTTTCTGAAAGCCAGCAGCTCAGGGGTCAGACATCCAGCGAAAACCATCATGTAAATAAGCAAAGTATTACAATGAGCTGTTAAATGTGTTTGTTTTATTGCATTGAATCATATAAAGAACCCAAACCCAGGACCTCTCCCCAATTAAATGTTTTTTTTTTTGTTTTTTTTTTTTTTTTAGGAACTCATTGGTGGGCAGGACTGAAGTCACCCGTGGGCCAGAAGTGGCTCGCGGACCACCAATTGAATAGCCCTGATCTATGTTACCCCCATTTTCTCTTATTACTTTCAGGGAAAAGATCAAAAGAACCTAAAAAAGACAAAAAGACATGTAATGACTGTAATGCGGTAGCTACTTAGCAAAGCGTCTGAAGACATTTAAGCTAATTTAGTCAAATATTTTTGTTTCTTTAGATGAAAGGACGCAGAGGGAGTAGGTGAAAGGAGAACTGAAAACAGCACAGGGATGAAGAAAGACGGGTGGCGGGGAGGAAAAACAGTGAGTTCACATCACAGTGATCTGATTAGAGCCTTCTTCCTCAGCCAAAGAAAATAATCCCTTTCCTTATTGTCATGTATGTGGAGGACTCCCTGACAACCCAGCTGCAAACACAGGCCATCTCCAAGGATGCCTTCATTGTGTAGTCGGGGCTGGGCCTGCACAGCCATCGAAGTTTCACCTCCAATCATGAGGGCAGTTTGTCTGTAAGACGTGCATGCATTAATAATGATCGCACCGCAATAAATAAATACAATGTATATTATCATTTATGACCATATTTTGGATTTTGTTGTACGTACCAAGCAAATGCTAACAAGAATTAATCCAGCAAAGTAAATACACAATTTTCCCCAGCAAAGGGCATCTGGAGTCACCATTGTT